CTATCTATCTATCTATCTATCTATCTATCTATCTATCTATCTATCTACTGTATCTATCTATCTATACACAACTCGCCACACAACCGACACTAGAAAGAGCTGTTCCAGCTGTGAGAATGCCTAACGCTGAATGGAGGCGCCGGCTGAAGTAGGTCAAAGTTTTTGAAGGATTTGAAGGCTCTTCCATTCATTTCATCCATCCATTCATCCATCCATCCATCCATCCATCCATCCATTATCCTTACGGCTTATTCCCTAATGGGGTCGCGGGGAGAACTGGAGCCCATTCCAGTGATCAATGGGCGAGAGGAGGGGTCCACCCTGGACCGTTATTATTAATAAGAATAATATTAATAATAATATAATGATGAGGATGATGATAATAATAATAATAATAATAATAATAATAATAATAATAATAATAATAAAGACAAACAGGAAAACAATAGTGCCTCTGGCATTCTCACAACCGGACCTAACCTTGGATAGAGAAGGCAGAGCAGACTTAAGGGGACGCCTCCGGTAAGTCACGTTGTGTGGCCGTGTCTCGTGACGCCACACAGGGGCGGGTTATCAGTAACAGAGTCGGTCTGTGTGGAGCTAACGTAACAGAGGGACAGAGCCCGAGTGTTGTTTTGAATTTACGGGAAAACACCGACTGGAGGAGGGAGTTAGTGCCTGTTAAGAAGATGGCGGACATAGGAGGCGATGAAACTCGGCCGGCTTTCCCCGCGGCATCCCGCAACGGTCCGCCGGTGGGTTCGTCGGCGGGCACCGCGGGCCAGAACGCGGCCACGGTAACGTCAGGTCCACGGATAGTCCGGATTGTGAAGTCAGAGTCCGGCTACGGGTTCAATGTTCGCGGTCAAGTCAGCGAAGGAGGACAGCTTCGGAGCATCAACGGGGAACTGTACGCCCCTCTTCAGCATGTCAGCGCTGTTTTGCCCGGAGGAGCTGCCGACCGAGCGGGGATAGTGAAGGGTGACAGGATCCTTGAAGTGTAAGTCTGAGTGTACGCGTCTGATGAAGACGGGGGGGGCTTAGCAAGCGAGGCTAGTTATCCAGGGTAGCCTCTGTGGATCCGATTTCATGTGATAGCATTACCCGTCTGCAATGCTACGACACTTCTACGCCAGGAAAACAAATTTGGCGATATAAAAAAAAATATGAACTTGTTCGGCTTTGGAGGGGGGCATTTGAAGTAAACATTTGGGGAATTAACCACACGAAGCTAGCGCAGGTTGAGTTAAGAAAGCTAACCAGCTTACATAAGTTGGACAACAGCCTGTGCATGTTGATTAGCTTTAGCTGGCTAGCAAGCCAGGTAGCTACAATTTTCGGCTAGCTATTTACGCAGTGGCTGTACGGTGTGGAAGCGAGGTCAGCACTGAAGTGCAAACACGCTTAACATCTTATTATCATGCGGATAATAGTGCTGGCTGCTGTTTTTTGGCGTGTCTGAGGAGAGTGGCGGCAGTGTTGTCCCCTCAGCATCTCAGTTAGAGTGTGAGAACTGCCTCGACGAGACCTTTACAGCAGCATTGTTTACATGGGACTGTGAGTATCGTCGGATAGTTTCGGTCTTCATCGTTGTGACTGTCCTTGGATGGTTCTGAGACACGTTTGGGTCCCAGAAACAAACCATTAGGCTGCTTTTTGTGAGTCCAAATTAAAGTAACATGGCAAAAGCAGCAACTAGTGACAGTGGTTTTTAAAGGTGTCTTTTGGCTTTTTTTGTAATCCACAAAATATATGCAAGTACATTTGGTAGGTAGAGGTATTGCCACGGAGACGTTTTCTGTTAAATATTTTAGATCAAGATTTATGATAATCTCTCAGGTAATTGAATATCCCAATAGTGGAGGCAGAGGTCAGCCCTGATCGTGAGCAAGAGCTGGGGTGCAGCTTATTACCTGCATGCTATGAGCACATAACATGCTCCGAATCATCATTTGATTGAGACAAACATGGTCGTGCAATAAAGCTACCCCAGGTCAAAGTGAGAGGAAAGGAAGAACTGAAACAGAAAAGGAGAAACATTGCTCGTCTCTTTCTAAATTGGACACCAGCAGTGTTTTGTGCATCAAGGCTTGCAGGTCATATGACTGAGCAAGAACTGACCATGTGATTTACTAACCAGTTTGGCCATTTTGCAAAATCTCACAAAAATCAGCTGATTGAGAGTGACAGATGTCAGCAGAAAGTAGAAAACTAAATGCAACTGCTCCCCTGTGTGTAAAATATTCAGCACGTTCCTGGCTTGTTGTCTCAGGACTCGGCTTAATGATAAGGCAATATGGGTTGCCTAAATCTTTGTTTTCCCCATTTAGTCTCACGATCAACATTTTGATCGTACCCTGACCATGTTGTGATTTTTCAGATATCTTATGCCTTGCTAAGTTATCACTGGGAAAAGGAAATGTGGGGTACACTCGTAAAGAAAACTGCTTCAGTGTCAAATTCACAGTGGGGTCTGTATGGTAGCAGCAAGACATCAGATTATATTTAATTTTATGTTTGACAAATTCACATTTGACACTTTCTTACAGCCACATTGATTTAAAAGGTGGCGGTTAATCATTTGATTACGTTTTATTCAGCAATAATCGCACATCTGCACAGCAGCTGCTTGACTTTGGTTTTAAAAAATTCTTTAAGCCGTGTGGCCCTTAAATCTACTGAAACTGACTAGTGTATTATAAATTACTAGCACAAAGGGGTTAAAGCAGTCTTCATCTGACATCTCCATTTCCATAAATGTGCAGGGAGAGAGATGGAGGGTTGTACCCTGGCCAGCTGGTAATGAAATTCATACAGGTGCATCATTAGAAACCATGTGATGATTTAGCCAGGCCAAAATCTACTTTCATTGTCTTGGCACGAGCTGAATTAAACACAGCACAAATGGGTTACAAGTGAGCTGAATCCTAAGCGGCGCTCCCATGTAAAGTAAAGGGGCAAAACACGCAGAAAACAGACAAATGTTTGTTTATTTTGTCTCGTGTTTATAGTTCCTGAATATTAAATTGGACCAGACAAAAGTCATAAAAAATGAATGTATAAATCAGCCAGTAGTGTTTATAAAAATAAGAAGAACTTCTTTTGTATTATGTTTTTCTTTTTCTTTTGTTTTTTCAGTTGTCAGCTGCTGCTGTTCTAGACTGCAGCAAAGCATAATTTGCAATAATTGAAATTTTCCTCAGTGTCACACTTCTTTGGACCCCTCCCGCCACCGGCTCTGTTGATTGGGTTGAGCAGTTCTAACTAGCCCCACTTTAAGGGACCCATAAAAATACATGGACTACATTTATAAACAGTAATACAGACACTGCATATTGTTAGACATTATTAAACAGTCTTCCTTTTTTATTTATGTCCCCTGTCTATCCAACTGTTTTCAAAGGAAGATTAACAGAGACACCTGATGCTGCTGCCATCTGGCCTCATCAAAGCCAAGAAGGGGAGGTGTGTCAGCACCAAAGGAAAGGGGAACAGCAGAGCTAGCCCGGCTGCGCTCAACTGTCAGCTTATGTAGGACAATGCCGTGATATTTCTCCTCATATAAAGGGACAATGAACAGGAAACTTGGAGCGTTACAAGGGATTTTTTTTTAATGGCACAATCTCTGGGATCATTATTATATTCCTCAATGTGTGAGTTTGGGTTTGCCCCACTACCCGTTCATCAGGTGTAACATTACCGCTCTTCACAACAGTTTGGTTTACCCAGGCACTGAAGGAAACAGGCTGGCCTCATGGCTAATGAAATGAAACCAATCACTTAGGATGTATTTTGCATTCCCACCATTCTTATTCCCTTTTTCCTCTTTTGTTCCCTGGTCGTTGCTTTCCTCCAGTAATGGGGTGAGCGTGGAAGGTGCGACCCACAAGCAGGTGGTGGACCTGATCCGGGCAGGCGAGAAGGAGCTGGTTCTCGCCGTGCTGTCTGTTCCACCCCAGGAGGCTGATGGATTAGAAGGAGGGGAGGATGTCCAACCTAACTACGATTACAGTGACAAGCAGGCCGTGCCCATTTCTATTCCCACATATAAGCATGTAGAGCAGCACTCTGAGAGATTTGTGGTGAGTGCGGATTTTGCTTATATGGGTCTTTCTTTTTCCCTTAAAGCAAATAACAACAAACTTCCCTTTTGGGCCATCTTAATGCTGGAAAAGATTTTTTTAACCCCGGTGTGGCTTCTTTTATCCTTAATGCCCACAGGTGTACAACGTGTACATGTCAGGGAGACAGCTGTGTGCTAAACGCTACCGCGAGTTTGCTATCCTGCACCAGAACCTGAAGAGGGAATTCTCGAACTTCAACTTCCCAAAGCTTCCTGGAAAATGGCCCTTCTCCCTCTCGGAGCAGCAGCTGGATGCTCGTCGCAGAGGCCTGGAGGAATATCTGGAGCGAGGTGGGCTGGCATAGAGTGGTCACATTTAACATGTTCGTGTTGGACACAGAAATGTATTTTTTTGCTGTGTAGAATGATAAAAACCCGAATCTACCCGGGTTTTATGCTGCCCAGATAAATTGAGATGGGTAAAAAAAAAAGCCATGGACCACCTGTAAAATGACACTCGAAGCACTCAGTAAATGACTTAAATATAAACAGTAGACTCAGCCAGTGGTATTCAGTTGATTTTCGCTTGTTTCTTCTCATTGACGCTGAATTCCTCTTCACTCCACCTCTCTCTAAATCTGTCCCCAGTGTGTTCGGTGCGGGTGATAGGGGAGAGTGACATCATGCAGGAGTTTCTCTCTGAATCAGACGAGGTGTGTATGAAATGCTTCACCCTTCCCTATTTCTGGTGAGGTTGTTTCTTTTTTTGTTACTGTTGTGTGCATGTTTTTTTTTTTTGTGTGTGTGTGTGTGTATGTTCTTCCTTTGACGTTGAGAACAAAGAGGCGAGAAAAAACTGTTCCTTGGTGTCCCGATTTAGCCGGAATATGTCCATTTGGGCCGATTTTCAGTTACACTGTAAAGTATGCCGCAGTCTGTGTCCTATAATGGGAGCTTGTGAATCTCTAAGAAATGTGCCATACCATGTAATGGAAAAATAATACTACAAAAAGTGGATATTCTTTTAAAGGAGTATGAGAACTGGACATTTCTGATTGCTCAAATCAATCAAAAGTTCCCCCTTTTTTCAACGTGTCCTTTTAAACCTGGTTGTACTGAGCCGTAACGGGCACAAACAAACGTCCAGGGAAACGAAAACTACCGGTTATCCACAAAGATAACTTCTCTGTACAGAACTACAACGGAGTGACGGACGTGGAGCTGCGGATAGCCTTGCCAGACAAGACGACCATCTCCGTCAGAGTCCGCAAAAACAGCACCACGGATCAGGTGTACCAGGTGAGGCCACGGCAGCCGGTGGGGGTGACATATGTCCGACAGGCTTTCTGCTCTGTCGTAAACATGAAATGCTGGAACACGCATAACTGGCTTTATTTTCCCCCTTCTGCAGGCGCTAGTCATGAAGGTTGGAATGGACAGTATTATGGCGAGCTACTTTGCCCTTTTTGAAGTCATCAATCATTCCTTTGGTGAGAAATGGATTTGTCTTATTTAAAAGGCTGTTTTTCAGAAAATGAAATATTTTGAGATTGGGTTAAAACCTGCTCAAGTGTGAGTTTGTGACCTAAAGCTTTCTGAAGGCATGCCAACCCACTGGGGAGTTTCTTTGTATTTATGACTAACAAGAACAGGTCATCAGGAGCAGATGTACCCCCCACCCCCCCGTTCTTCATCTCCTTCTGTTTGAACCTTTTCTACAGTGAGGAAGCTGGCGCCCAACGAGTTTCCCCACAAGCTTTATGTGCAGAACTACACGTCAGCTGTTCCCGGTACCTGCTTAGCGCTCCGCAAATGGTTGTTTAGCATCCAAGAAGAGGAGTTGCTCCGGGATAACCCGCTGGCGCTGCATTACTGCTTTCATCAGGTAATGGCGTCTGTCCTCAGTAATAATAAGGTGAAACAGATATAGTAATAACACTGTGGACTCTTTAACCTGTAACTACTATGCTCTTAAAAGGACGCAGCAGTTTTTTGTCCAGTTAACGAATAACTTGTGGAGAAAAAAAGAAGCATATTTTCTTGCCGGCCTTGTGAATAGCCAGCTCAGCCAGATCACATGCAGGTTCCAATTACAAAGTGAAGTTCAGCTTTCAAAAACATTAAACCCAATGAGTCAAACTGTGTTAACAGGTTATGCAGTAACAGTGTTATTTGAGTAAGACTGCCTTTTTCATACTTATACAAATTAGTTCCTGCTCTTGTAATTCAATAGTTGTTTTTGGACTTTTCATGGCAGCTTTTTAAAATGGTATAGTGGTTTTCCCCAAGCTCCTGAAATCCTCTGTAGCTTTTGAAGTATAAAGGTTGAACAGAAAAAAAAACAGTCTAATTTAAATTCACTAAAACAGCTGCCTGCCGGCTATCCACCTGACCAGGAAAGGTCATCGCTTAAGGCATGCTAAGCTTTTGAGGTCCAGCAGTGTCCTATTAAAGCAAATGTGAAGGCACAAAAGCACATTATGACTACTGGATAAATTATCCATGGAAAGGGGAAGCTTTTAATCACCACATTGAGATCCATCCCTAAAGTAAGTTGTTACAGACTCTTTTTGTTTGTTATTCTATTTAACTAGGAAATAAAAGCGCACTTGAAATCAGCTTTTTAAGACCGACCTAGTAAAGATAGCCAACCGCTCAGATCAGCAGCAGTAAACACCAACAATACACACTGATCACAAAACAGTATGCACTTGGCCTCATAAAAGGGAACCTGATAGCTCTCTTTGCCCACTCGACACATCAGCATCTCGCTGTCACCGGGCTTGTACGTGTGGCCCACAACTCGCTCAAACAGTTAAAAATGGGGAAGATTTGGTTTGATTGTGTGACTTTTTTCACCATGTGACTATTGCATGGTTTGGTCCCAGCTGTAGTTTACAGCTGTATGACTTGTGTGTGTATGTTATCATTTGTGTTTTGTGACCTAAACGATAAATGGTGTATCTCTTTATGCCTCTCCCCATCCCTCACCCCTCCCCCTTTCTGTCTAGGCACTGGATGATGTGAAGAAGGGATTCATAAAAACAGAGGACAAATCCTACCAGCTGCAGAAACTGGCAGAGCAGCGCAAGATGGCCACGGTCAGAACCACAGACCAGTCTTTGTGCAGGGAAGGGACAGGGATGACTACACTTTGTGCCTGCTGACCAGAGCACATCACCAAAAACACTTCCATATAAAAATGTGCAGAGAAGTCAGAAATCCTTTGACGCTTCAGAGGACAGTGCTGTGGTGTCAACAGGCACGAAGCCATCTAGTTTATATCGATGTTTGTGGAACATTAACTGAAAGACTTTTATGTGTTGGAGGTTGAGTCTTAAGTTCAAACTACATTAAAAGCAATAATGCCACTTATATTTTCAAAGCGTTTGTCAAACTGGAGTTGTATTGGTCATTCCCGGGGCACCCAAACAGAGAGCGTGCAGAAAAAAAAAAAAAAAAGATGGCACAAAGCTGCTACAGTACTGTGTCCAAACCGTTGACCTCCACTATTAGGCTTTGCTTCATTTTGCCTTTTCAAATATTTCGCCAATCTGTAGTGACTGCTCTCTGTCCTTCTTCGTAGTACCTGAGCCTGTTACGGACGTGTGAGGGCTACAACGAGGTGGTGTTCCCCCACTGTTCCTGTGACTCCAGGAGGAAGGGCCACGTTATCACGGCCATCAGCATCCACCACTTCAAGCTGCACGCCTGCACTGAAGACGGCACGCTGGAGGTCAGTGCTCGCTCCCGTACAAGTCCAGTTACTGTCACGTAAAGCTGGCTTTACGCCGGATGTCTTTCCCAGAAAACTGAAATCTAATGTTAGCCTAATATTTCTGTGCATGCACGTGTAGAGCTGAGCCCCTCTGCCTGTCTCTCAGAACCAGGTAATCGCTTTCGAGTGGGCGGAGATGCAGCGCTGGGACACCGACGAGGAGGGCATGGCGTTCTGCTTCGAGTACGCCAGAGGAGAGAAAAAACCTCGCTGGGTTAAGATTTTCACTCCATATGTAAGTGTGTAAACACCCCCGAACAGCCGTTTTACCTGTTCTGCAGGATTTGGCCTTTAAAGTGATAGATTTACATCCTTTAACTCATATGTAGCCAAAGCAACAAGAAGCAAACATTTAAACAGACTGTGACCATTCAGAGCCTGAACAGCTATTTTGTTTCCCTTCCAGTTCAACTACATGCACGAGTGCTTTGAGCGTGTCTTTTGTGAGCTGAAATGGAGGAAACAGGTACAGACCACTCCTTTCCTCTTTCATTCTGGAAAATTCTGGACTCCATGCCAGCTTTGAATGTCTAAACTTAGCATATTGTGACATCCTTCACAGATACTGAAACCACTTGCATCTTTTTCTTAGTCTTTTTTTTTTTTAAAGCTTTGCATTTGATATTTTTTGTCTTCTTATCATTGTAGGTTGAGGAGGAGGCATCTGACAAAGACAACAAAAACTGCAGTAACAATGGTAAGCATCCAGCCTTTTTTAGAGTAGGCTTAATTTTAAAGAGATGTTGTTCTTTTCAACACAGGACTAAAATGAAGGCAGCTCCATTGTGATCAGATTATTTTTAAACATGTAGATGTGGTACTGAGATTTGATTGATGGGACAAATGAAATACCAAGAATTAGGCAAACAGTCAATCGGTGAAAACGATCAAAGGAAAGGACAGAAGCTGACCTAAGCACATTCAATTCAGTGTAAACAGGAAATAAGATCACTCCCTTCTATAAAATGTGCTGATACAATATACTTACCTTTTCTGTGTAAAGGTTGCATTGTAACATGTAGATGAGGCTTTCTTAACCCTGCTACTCTGGGCCCAAAGTCCTGCACACCTGATCCAGATGAGTGTGTGGTCATCAGCCCTCTGCAGCTCTGAAGAGCCCAGTCACTCGTTTGAATCAGGTGTGCTGGGAAAGCTGGAAAGCCGTGATGTAGAAAAATTCATTGCACCTCACACCTATAATACCTCGGCAAAGTCAAGTCTCCTCCAGCGGCCACAGTTTACTGTAAAGAGACACACACTGCCATATTTGTGCATCAACATGTGACTCACCACAGATCCATCTCTGAGAGCAGAGCATCAGACCATTAAACCATCACGTGAGAACAGAATGTAGTCATCAGCGCAAGAATGTGGATAAGCAACTGAGAGGGAGAAAGAGAACGATTTGGATAGTTAGCAGCAGAAGTTTAAAAAAAGAAAAGAATCCCTAATCAATGCTCGCTGTTCTGGGGACTCCACAGCCCACAGACTGAATTCTGTTGTGTCATGAGTCACATCACGTGCCAGATAAGACGAGCATTCAGACCTGTTCCCTTGAACCGTCTCTGTGTTCCAGAGTATCTGCCTCCTCTGGAGACGCAACAGAAGGGATGGCGCCACCTAGGGGGCGAAATCGCAACCTCCTAAAACCATTTCTGTTCACTCGAACTCGAACTGGTCCACTTTGCATCATCACAGCCACCCCAGAGAGCGCCCATCGACAAACACAGAAACGAGCGAGAGACCAAGGAGATCCCCGCCCCAGAAATAAACTGGCAGCGACCGCTGTGGGAAGTTGAAATTGTCCCATTTACCCGAAATCCAGGGATCCACCGACTTAGAAGAGCAATGACGGAGAATATGCATAAACCAGCTTTCATGTAATTTACTAGGTTTCCATAGTGTGCCTGTTCCTACCATTCGTCCGCCCTGCGGCAGGGGGCGCCACACTAGCATATTTTCACCACTGGACGGGTGACTGGTCAGGGTTGAAAGCAGCACTGTAGGAGGCATTTGTGCTGAGGGAGCACCGCGGAAGAGCTAACCTCTGGATAGAAATGTGACCGTTTTTCTGACAGACCCCCTCAGCCCAAACTCCGCAGCTTATCGAGCTGAGCTGGAAAAAAAAGGGGAGGGACAGCAGAAAAAAAGTTGTGTGTGTGTGTGTGTTTTTGTTTTGTCTGGAAGAAGGCCAGATCATGCTTTTACATCGATGCTGGACATTAACACAGAAATAATGTTTTCTATCTTCGGGTCCTTAGTGTCCTGTCTTTGTCAGAGAATATAGGCAGCACAACTGTAAACAGAGCGGAGACGGATGTGTTCATATTTCTATGTTTAACGATCTCCTGATAAAGTATAGATTAATATAAGAGCGAAATTAACTGGTTTATTGCAGCGAAGCTCAAGTTGAGTCTAAATCAAAATGCTCTAACCAGTCTTTTTTTCTTTCTTTGTTACCTGGTGTGTTGGTCTAACCAAGACTGCAGAGTGAATGCTGGAAACAGACAGCCACTGGTCTCAGTGTGTGGACACGGAGCCCTACGAAAAGTGTTATGCTGGGGCCATTCGGCAAAGCTTGGTAACTAATAGGGGGAGGTGTCGCTATCCTCAGGTTTCCAGGAAAAACTAGAAACTAACGACCATGAGTGATCCCAGCTGTCACGTGGGTAATCCCATCATTACATTGTGAATGTTACCAGTTTCTGAGCCTTTTTTGTGGGGGAGCTGCACTTCTCCGGACAGACAGTAGGTGGTGGCAGAGTTGTAGGCTGAGGGCGCTAGTGAGCTGGAGTGAAATTCCTCCCAGAGCTCTTTCAGAATGACACCTCCGGGTCTGTAGCTCACCCAAAAGTGTCACTGCCCTGCAGTTCGTCCATTAGGCAAGTCCAGAGGAAAGACTTTGAGCTTGGTGTGACTGAGCGGTCAGCCGTTTGCCCCGCTCGGACAGCAGGGACGCAGTGTTAGCTGTGTGCTCCCGTCACACATAATGTCTGCGTTTTGCAGTTGCCCACACTTTGTGAATTTATTGTTTTTCTCACAGAAAAGATAGAGACAATAGTTGGATTTGTTTGTGTGAGTTTTTTTTTTTTTTTTTTTTTGCTGTTATCTCACCTAAAGAACAGAACGTGGGGTTCCATGCTCACAAAAGATACTTCTTAATGGAGAGTGTGCATTATGTACTTTTTTTTTTTTTTTTAA